TTCAATCCGTGAGTGAAACATTGATTCATTCACCAAATTAAACTCATATTTTTTTTGAATTATTTTTTTGTCTATGGGATTAATGATTTTGTTATCTTTGTAACCCCAACTACAAGATTAATCAAATCGAAGAAATAAAAGATATTTTTAGATGAGTAGATGAATTATGAATAGAAAACTAATTTAGAGCTTTATGAACAGCATTGTCACTTTGTCAGCATCCATATCCACTTGTCTATGTTGTTGTTTGCTTTTACACTTTGTTATGCATCAAAGGTTGTTTGCTTAGTTTATCTCAATTTTTTATATATTTGAAATTATAAAAAAAAACTCAATTATCCTTGTCAAAAGAAAATGTGAATATTTCATTCAAAAAAAGAAAAGAAATGTGAGTATTGGATTGAATACGAATAAAATGGCATGATCCTACCCGAAATGAACCGAGCCCAGCTAGCTATAAAACACAAAAGCACACATTTAGTAATTTTGAACTGATTTGAGGGGTATATTCGTCATTTATCTTGCGTCATTTTGTTTTAGGTCTTCTCTTTCTACTTACTCTCCCTTATCGCAAAACCCCAACCCTTTTGTTTCTCAATCGATTGATCGGCTTTTTATTTTGTTTAGGGTTTTAGCCTTTTCAAGTTAAAACTCAATCATCCATACTCCGATCGGTCAATCGAATCTATGGCGATGGCTATGAGACTCCCGGCGATAGTTAGAGCGGCGACGGAAATGGCTGCGTCTCCGGTTGGATTGAGACGGCTGTTCTGTTCGAACGCTACTAAGTTTTCATTTCTTTCTCCTCAGTCTGGAACCGAAGCTCCGGCTCGTCCTCAGGCGGAACCCAGCACCAATCTCTTCGTCTCCGGTAAATACCCTCTTTTCGTTACTGGGTTTTGAGGTTTATCGCCGGTCGTCGCTTTTGTGGGTTTTGTATTTGATGCTTGTATTGATTAATTCCTTTACTCATTGAGAACCCAGTGGATGTGTTAAGACTGATTGTGATCAATTATTTGCAAAGAGAAATACTTTTGTGGTTTCTGAATTGGTTAGCCTAGGAATGAATCGAAAGAGAGTTTCTTTTCTGAGCTAACCATTTGCTTCGCCTAGAAATGGATTGAAAGAGTGAACATGAGCTTCTTTTGCAGTTCTGTTTGGTGCTAACCATTGTTTCTTAGACTCATTTCTTAAGAAATCAAGATTTCCGGGTATCATTTGACCGGAATGCTAGCATTGTTTCTAAGAGTTGTGTGTGTACTGAATGTCTTGTTTCTTCAACATATGTAGTAGAGTGTTTCTTGTCTTCTTGAGGCTAGTTATTGTAAGATCTGAGTCGTTTCGAACAGTTTATGCAAAAAAATATGATTACTCTGTTTCCTTTGTTCCTTGATAGAGCCATGAGATATTTTAAAAACTCATGTATCGAGGAAAACTCTTATATACATGTTGTTAGGTCTGATTACTATCTATGCATGGAATCCAAAACCTGTTCTGATTCTATTTCTCAGTTTCTTCAAGTGTCTTTTTCATCATAATACCTTTGTTATATGAGGAATGACTTCTCTTTATTGTTCTTACGTATTCGCTTTGTTTCGCTTCTCTATAAATGCATCCTACAAATCTAACGGATTATTTTTGTGCCACCTGAATTTTTCAGGGCTTAATAAGCGCACTACTTCTGAAGGACTGAGGACAGCTTTCGCTCAGTTTGGAGAAGTTGCCGACGGTGAATTTCCTTACTATATGACACTTTGTGCGCATCAAGACTAACGGAACAAAAAACTAACCACAACTATACTTTTCTCTCAAATTTGTTTTTTATAGCTAAGGTTGTCACAGACAGACTATCAGGATTTTCCAAAGGGTTTGGATTTGTTAGATATGCCACTTTAGAAGATTCTGCAAAAGGCATAGCCGGAATGGATGGGAAGGTAAAATAATTTTCATTCCAAATACAAAAGGAAATCAAAATCTATTAGAGGATTTACACTCACATCTATGGCTAACTATCTTCTCTGTGTTTCTGCAGTTTCTTGATGGTTGGGTCATATTCGCAGAGTACGCAAGACCAAGAGAGCAATCGCAGTCGTATCAACCTCAGAACAACATGTCTCGTCCTCCTTATGGTAACCGCTATTGAAACAAGCTTGTTCATGAAATCTTTCAGCATATTGTGTCTCGACGAATTTGTATTAGTATTGCGCTTTATTCTATTCTATTTTCTTCTTCTGATCGAATTGTTGTCGTAGTGTCTTACTATTATTACCTTGAGAAGATCAGAAACTTGAAATTATATTTTGAGTAATAACCAAAAACGATCATTTATGTAATAACTATTTGAGAAAGAGATGGCAATCTAGCTTACATGGTTTGGTCTAAAACGTTTCGTTTTGGTTATTTGTGGTTTCAACACCGGAATGGTTTTATATGAGCCGGTTTAAAATGAGATTTTAGAGCCATGGGAAATTCAGATCCGGTTCGGTCTGTTGATTTTTGTATCCGTAAGATCTTTTAATATATACCCATTTGATATTAAAGAAAATGTTCCGTA